ACACCGCCCTCTGTGGTGTTCAAGCAAAACATAAACATTCACAAAATAACAGCAAGAGAAGCCTCCACCCGCAACGTGTGCATCACCGTGGAGCGTCGCTTCTATCCCTGCAAGTAAAAGAGGCGCCGTCACATCATCCTCAAGGATCGCCACAAACACGCCAAATTGCGAAGTACGCAACACGCTCCGCCGTGACCATCGTTTTCCCGATAGGGCAGCCCACTTCCGTCCACCGTGTCTGCCGAGCAGGACACACCAAGCCTGTCGCTGCAACGCAAGAGAGATCCAGAAATACGCAACGGATCCCGTCGCAGTCGTTGGCTCAGCCGCCGTGTTGAGGTTTGGGATAGGCCGATGGAGGAATAAAAACAAAACGGGAAAATATCCCCGCGGACTCCCGCATTCCACGCAGTCCCAATGGCCCGAGGATCCTCTGGGGACGTCTGGGAGACGCATCCGCCACACTCACACGCACCGTCACTCACGGCACCCCAATCGAGTCCAGCGGGCCTCGTGAAGCACACGGCGCGCCTCAGTGGCGTGGCAAGCAGCCTTCTCGGAGAAAATGACGCGTGGCGATGGTTCCCCTCCCCACTTCACTTTTATTTTTTTCTCCCTCTGTTTTTGGTGGCATGCCTCAGAAGGGGAGCGTACTTCATGTCCCCGAGCCCTTCTCTCGGTGCACGCAGAAAAACAGGGAGGGAAATAATAAAAGAACGAGTCAGGCGTCACGGAGAAATAAATGTGCGGGAGACAAACAAACCAACAGAATAAACAAAGAGCCCGACAGATATGCACGCAGCATATTCAGCGAAAACGGGTGTCACTTTCAGTGGGTAACTTAGTAGCCAATGGCGGCGTCGATCGCCCACGGTAAGAAAGAGCGTTGTGCCCACAATATTTTTGACTTGTTTTCTGCTTCCCTCCCCTGTTATTTCCCCCTCGTTCATCATCTTCATTTTTCAACCTTGCTGCCGCCCCCTCCTACCTTCGGCAATACTGCCGGGTTTGGACGCTGCGCCTTCCCTCTGTCATGCCAAATATGTGTTTGGGCTCTTTAAACCCATGGCGTACTCGCTTAAATATCATTCGTGTAAAAAGAACAAAACAACAAAACTTTAGAACAATCTTCTGGGCCGCTGGCCGGATCCTGAGTGGCTCAATAATAGAAACCAAACCAGATACGAATAACAAGGGATGAACGGAATAAGAGTGGATTCACCACATCCTCAAAGTTTAACGCCAGGTGACTGTATGTTTATACATATACCATCCGTTAGACTCTATCGTGGCCCGTTCACTCTATTCGGATAGGATACATATATTTATTTATTAAATGCGAGGTGGCAGACTTTTGGGTCCTGCGGCCACAACACCCCGCCGCGTGGGAACCAAAAGGGGCGGGTGGGAAGGTAAAATAAAAATAAAAGATCATCCGGCCGCTGTCGGCTCCCTGATGCCCTTAAAGTGGTGAGATAGAAAACTGTCGCAAAGAAGTGTATATTTGTTTTAGCAGGATATATACATTACCTAATTTAGCTTGCCCACAATTATTTTATTAACAAGCTCCTGATAACATGTAAAAAAAAAAGACTCACATACATCGTTCATTGGCGGCCCAGCACACACACGCACATTCTCATCACGTGCCCCCAGCAGAAGCACACACGCACGCGGGTCGAGTGCGGGGAGTGGCACGCTCCACGGGGGCACGGGGCGGTCAATGACACATTCCACGTCGTTCGGCCACGGAGCACACAGGGCACGAACCTGGGTGCAGCAACCAATCAAGCAATACATTAGGATTCAACACGCACAGGAAACAAATCATTTCGTCCATTTGTCAATCGCACGACGGGTATATCACGTCTTCTGAGGCACGTTCCACACGGGCGACAGGCGATGTGTCGTTGCCGAAGCGCGCCATCAGTGC